GAAGATGACCTCTGGCATGTGAGTGAGTCAACAAGTAACCAGCCAGGTAGCTGGGTATGTGAGTGAGAGAGTGAGTGAGAGAACACTAGTTAGTTATTAGTTAGAAGACCCAGCTGGAAAGATCTCAAAGAATTCGAACCATCAAAGGTATCTGAGCAGGATAGTGATACAGTGAGAACTGTTTTGGTCTAGAGCTCCGATCAGAGCTAAGAGATAAAAATAGTGAAATCATGGGAGGTAAGACTGTCCCAGGAAAAAAGTATAAAGATAGAAAAGGGCTGAAGACTAAATCCTGAGAACTAATTACACTGGGGGAAAGGAAGGGAAGTCAATGAAAAACAAGTGATTTGAGAGCAGGCCAAAGAGAGAATAATGTCATAAAAACCAAAAAAGCAGCAGAGAAGTGAGCAACAATACCAGAAAAGAAGATGAAAGTTATCAGAGAAGAATCTCATTTAGCACTCAGGAGGTTGCTAGTGCTCTTGAGACTGACAGCTTCAATATAATTGGGTGAGGGTGGAAGGTGAGACATACCACAATAAGTTAAGAAAAATGGTAGACAATTATAAAGGCAGCAAGTGGGGGCTGCTTTTCCAAGAACTGTGACAGTGAATGAAGAAAGAAAAGGACAAAAGTTTGAGGTAGTCCAGAGAATACTATTAATTGCTTGCATAAAAAAAAAAAAAGGGAAAAAAAAGTTTGAGGTAGAAGCAGAGTACATATTAAGTTTATATGAGAAGACACATGAACTTTTTTAATAGGCACAGAAGTGAGGAAAAAGGAAACTGGAAAAAAAAAATAATAAGAAGGTAAATGCCACCAAGTCCTGGGGGGAAGATGAGGACTGAAGAGGAACAGGTGAAAGGAGGCAATTTAGGAAGCAGCATGGAAAAAGAGGAGAATGTAGGAGAAATGAGAAAAATCTTTGGTATTGACCAAGGAAGTTAAGAGCACTTCAAATAGCTGGGTAAAGTAATGTGGTAAGAATTAAGAGAGGATGCATGACTCCAACTGGCCAAATTAAAAATTAAAAAAAAAAAAAAAAAAAAAAAGATTTGAACATTGCTGTTTGGAGTAGAATTAAATCTGAAGTGAAGAAAATGAGCATTGCAGGCCCAGATGATAACTGCAAAAGAAAAAAGGAACAAGTAGAATTATATGTTAGAATCTAAAACAGAAGATAAAAATTCTAATATCAACTGGGTGCAGTGGCTCATGCCTGTAACTCCTACCACTTTGGAAGGCCAAGGCAGGAGGATCACTTGAGGCCAGGAGTCTAGATCAGCTGGGGCAAGAGTGAGATCCTGTCTCTGTAGAAAATTTAAAAATTAGCTGGGCATGGTTACACATACCTGTAGTCCGAGCTACTCAGGAGTCTGAGGCAGGAGGATCACTTGAGCCCAGGAGTTTGAGGTTTGCAGTGACATAGGATGCTGCTACTGCATTACAGCCTGAATGACAGATTGAGACTCTCCCCTCCCCACCCCACCCCAAACAACCAAATTCCAGTATAATGAAAAAGTTGGTGGTTTTTATTGCATTGGCTTCTGACTTATAAGGTTTACATCAAGAAAATTTTGAATCTTTCAAAACATTAGCTATCCCTCTGAACACTATGTCATTCACAGGTTCAATAAACAACTTTATCCAAGTTATTGCTAAATAAGGTAAGAACATACACTTTTCAGCAGGACACTAAAGGCCTCCCTTTAGGATTGATGCTGATTTATCATTCTTCAGGTACAGTTGTTTAACTGATAATCAAATTAAGTGTATCCTCATCTAGCTCACCTTTCACCATTCTAACCACAGGACATGATAATTCTGTCAAATATGCTTTGGTGAAATCTAATTGGACAATGTCAAAGATATTTCCCTAATGAACCAGTCTATTAATCCTGTCATAAAAGGAAATGAGGCTAATCTGGACATTCCTCAGTCAGCCTGGTCTCCGTTCAAGCTACCACCAGCCTTGAATTTAAATAATTTACAAATTACGTTATAGATCTACCCTGCAAGGGTCTCACTACATTTCTCCCAGAAGGCAAACTTTAGTCTTCCCACTCTATGATTAGCTACTTTTTAATGTATGAATACAGTCGTCCCCCCTTATCCTTGGTCTCATTTTCTGCAGTTCAGTTACCTGCAGTCAATCACCATACAAAAATATTACATGGAAAATTCCAGAAATAAACAATTCAAAAGTCTTAAACTGCAGCCATTCCAAATAGTGTGATAAAATCTCCTGCTGTCCTCCTCTGTCCAGCCTATCCATACTGTATACATTACCTGCCCATTAGTCACTTAGTAGCCCTCTTTGTTTTCAGATCAGGAAAAAAAAATTGCATGTGTAGGGTTTGGTACTATCTGAGGTTTAATGCATCCACAAAAGTCTTGAAACATATCCTCCCCCACCCCACGATAGGGGGGGTCTACTGTATATGGCAATTATCCATTGCCTCTAATGAGGAGAGGGGGAAAAAAAAAAGGTTTTTCTAGCCAACCTGAATACATAAAATTTTGGTGATACACAGATAAAAGAATCAAATGTTTATTCATAATGCCCACTATATTAGTTATATGTTATTTAAAATCACATACTATATGAAATATTTAGAAATTCTGCTTTTTCCTATAGTCAACATTTCATAAAACAATTATATTGAAAATTTTCCAGTGTGTCTTTGGCATCTGTCTTCATGTTCACTTGAGTGACTGAGTCACTTACCAGTTTTTTTAAGGCATTATCGCCTTCCTTTTATTTATAAAAGTTGTTTGAGTTAGAGTACTTTTTAAATTCTTGTAATCTCTTACCCTAAACCCTACATGCCCATTTTTAAGATATTCAGGCAGATTTTTCATTCTATAGGTATGTGCTGTATATGCAGATTCATAATCTCTACAAAGTAATTAATATTGACCAAAGTAGCTTCAGATTTTATCTTCTCCAAACAATCCTTTGTGAGACTTTGTGTGGAGTAGAATAGTGACTTACTCTTTTCTGAGAGAGAATTTTTTTGGAGGAAAAAGTTGCCTCATATCCAGGTGATCAACAAGTCAAAATTCCATAAAGAATCAGAAACCCAATTAATTCTTACACACATTTCAATTAATAACATATCGCTTATGCTAACACACATGGATACATTAACAGGGATCTTAAGAAGTTAAATTTTCTTTCTGAACTAATGCATTAGAACTTTGCTATACTGTTATAAAAGGGAAAGTAGAGTGAGATGGGTTACTCAATGCTGGTGAATAAGTTTTCTTAAATTAACAGTAGTAGTCTAGTAATCTATTGTATTGTGTACCAATCAAGTGCCAGGCACTATTTTAAGCATTTTTGATACATTAATTCATTTAATCTACACAATGCTCCCACAAAATAGGTGTTATTGATAATTCCTTTTTTTTTTTTTTTTTACACAGAGTCTCATCTCTTGCATGGGCGAGAGTGCCATGGCGTCAGCCTAGCTCAACAGCAACCTCAAACTCCTGGGCTCAAGCAATCCTCCTGCCTCAGCCTCCCTGGCGGCTGGGACTACAGGCATGGGCCACCATGCCCGGCTCATTTTTTCTATTTTTAGTTGTTTGGCTAATGTCTTTTTTTTTTTTTTTTTGGCATATTATGGGGGTACAGATTTTAAGGTTTCAATAAATGCCCATTTCCCCCCTCCCCCCATGGCTAATGTCTTTTTATTTTTAGTAGAGACGGGGTCTCACTCTTGCTCAGGCTAATAGTCTAGAACTCCTGACCACAAGTGATCCTCCTGCCTCGGCCTCCCTAAGTGTTAGGATTACAGGCATGAGCCACTGTGCCGGGCCAATAATTCCCTTTTAATAAGGAAACCTGGGCACAGGGAGTTAAGAAACTTGCCCAAAGTCATAAAGCTTGTATATGGGGGATATTTGGAGAATATAGTTCTAGCCTCCTCTCCCTTTTAAAAGATGATATACAGTACTGCCTCTTAGAAAAAATTGGTCTTCATTTTATACAACAATCCCATCAATTAGGCAGTTAATATCACTGGTCTATGGAAGACATGATGGAGAATTTCCAGTATATTTTAATTTATTTTCTATTATCCATCCACATTGCCTGAAGACATAATGATGAGTCCGAGGGAGGGGTAGTTCATCCTCTGTATTTATGTTCCCTGAGCTAATCATGATCCCCATTTCTGAGAGTCGGGATTAAGATTCTCACTACAACCACAAGCACAGAACAGACTAGCTCCATGTCTTACTCATTCTTCTCCAAACTTTTTAACTGATGGTGGAGAATCTGCCCCCTCTGGGCCTGGAGCTCCCTTGCTATGTAAAACTAACTTTAAATGTTGTCTTCAATAAGGTTACTTTCCTACCCCCTAAAACGATGGTAGCACTTCATCGGTTGTCATCTGGTTGTGTTCTGTAATAGGGGTGGGGGTTGGGGAGATTCCTATATGAACTCAAGAATGAGCGAATTAGGGAGGAGGTGTAGCACGCAGAAAAGGGAGGAAGGGGGTGGAGTGGGAGGCACTCCTGTCTGACTTGGAATTTCGTGCAGATAGAATGAGAACAGAAACTGAGGAGATGGGGGTCGATTCATCGAAAACTGTTAGGCAGCATTTTCTTGGATTTCCCTTTTAGGCTTCTTAGACACTCGCTTCAGAAGAAACTGAGACCTAAGAGTACTACTAACGGCCCAGTCGGTCAGGGCTCGGCACGACCATTCATCCCCCGCTCCCGGGCAGGGCTAGTCCCCTCAAAGCATCGCCCCACGCCATTCCTCAGCCGGGTTATTCACACCGGTCAACTGGCGGGAGGGACCCCCAGAGCCTGTCGACCCCGAGGCCACAGACCAGCGTTCCGGTTCTCGGCGGCAGCCACCGCAGCTTTCCTTGCGGTGGACAGCCCCTGAACACCCCTACATTTCGCGGCTGAAGCTGAACCGAGCCTTTCCCGAGGCTGACCGCGGCGCTCACGGAGTAAAACCCAACCTGGGGTGAGGGTCTTACCTTTAACAGATTAGACGTCGCCATGTTCCTTCAACTTAGACTCTCGCGAGAAGACGCGAGAATTCGTGGCGCTCCCGGCCAGGCCACAACTGGAGGCCGGAGTTCCCACCAGAGCCCACGGGCCCAGCGGCCCGCACCTGGGGTGTGGTGGGCGCCGGGGCGGCGTGCCGACAGCGCTGGCCTTGTCCCAAGCACCCGGAGCTTCCTCACGCTTTCCCCCTACATGGTCACCGGAGCTTCCCCACACGAAAGAGCTCATGCAAGCGCTCAGGGAGACGGGAACGGCGAATGGTGAGAAGGTAACAGGAGCCGACCTGACTTGGAAGAGGAAGCATCGGCTCCACGAACCTCCCCAACGCCTTCGGATTTGCCTTTGTGGTTGCACCCGCACTGCCCACCGGCAACGAATTTAGTAGCTCCGTTCAGGCCTGGCTGCTCAGGTTCCGCGGCCGCGTCACGTGACGCGGAGGGCGGGGACGTGCTCGGGAGCGAGCGTGGGAGCCTGGAAGCCTCGGCGGGCCGGAAGCACGCCCTCTGCTGGCCGGACCCACGTTTTCCTTCCTCTCGCCCCAGCACCAAATCCCGGGACTCCGCGATGAGGGAGACACATTACTCATCTCTTGAAATGCTTATAATAGCTGTACTGGCACATAGAATGGGCTCAGGAAGTGCACAAACGTGTCGATTATTAATATTTCTATTGAAGAGTGCTTGGCACTTAGATATTCCATAAAAGATTGTTCAGGGAATGGATTTTAATTGGATTTCCTGAAGGCATATCCTAGAAGATCCTGATAAGCCCCCAAGTTTTATCGCTTTAGACCACAAACCACTGGCCAACCAACGGAGGAGAATATAATTGATAGGTTGGACCTACGGGAAGGCTGGTGTTGATTATGATGTTTACAAACGGTATTCATTCATACATTCATAAAATGTATAAATAAAAAAGAGTTGGAGTCAAATAAAGCAGAGAAGAGGAATGACCCCACTTAAAAGAATCCAATTTAAGAAGGCAATACTTCTTGGAGCACTTACATGTACTAGGCACTGGAAATACAGAATTTAAAAAGATTCTTTGCCTCTATTAACTTGTGACAAAAAAAAAAATAAAAAAAATAAAAAGATTCTTGCCCTCTTGGAGCTTATGGTCTAATAAGGGAGCCAAATGTTAAGCATAGTTACACAAGTTAAATATTATAAGACTTAATTGGAGTTGTGATAAATACTGCAAAGAAAAATCCAATGTGTGCTTGAGGGTGTATCATGATGGGGATATCCTCCTCTCCATCCATGCAGGCTACCCGTTCCTTATGAATGGAACCTTATCACTGAACACTATGACTACTTTTGAGAATTCAATTTCAACATCCCGCTGTCTAACCAGAATATTCCATTCCCCTAACTTGCTTGTTCTGGTAACACCACTGCTACAACTCTGACTTCAATGTGTTCTCCATTCCACTGGCCCTACCACTTTCTTGTTATCTGCCATCCCTTCCTTTTTTCACTTTCTTTCTCATCCAGTTTAGATTCAATTGCTCATCGTTATAAAACTGCTTAAATGTTGAAAATGCTTAAACATTTAATTTTTAAAAATACAGAACACAAGCACATAGTACAAAATTCAGAAGATGCTAAAAGAAGTACAATCAAAAGTAGGCCTCCTGGACTGATGCAGTGGCTCACGCCTGTAATCCTAGCACTCTGGGAGGCGGAGGCGGTGGTGGGCCGGGGGATTGCTTGAGGCAGGAGTTCAAGACCACCCTGAGCAACATAGCAAGACTTCCATCTCTACTAAAACAAAAAATGAAAAAATAGTAAACAAAACTTGAAGTACAGTTAATGGTATTCAGGCTGAAGGATTTAGGAGTAAGTAAAGTTATATGTATAATTTATTTTAAAATGTAAATGTATCAAAAATAAAATGGATTGATATTGAATGGAAATATTGATAAAGCAAGTATAAATAATATGTTAATGGTAGAATCTAGATGGTGGATATACTAGTTTTCCCTGTGTAAATTTAATACTTTCAGCTTGTCAATGTTTGAATTTTTTTTTTTTTTTTTTTTTTTTTGAGACAGAGGCTTGCTCTGTTGACCCAGGTAGAGCACAATGGTGTCATCATAGCTCTCTGCAAGCTCCAACTCCTGGGCTCAAGCCATCCTCCTGCCTCAGCCTCCCAAGTAGCTGAGACTACAGGCATATAGGCATGTGCCACCATGCCCGGCTAATTTTTCAATTTTTTGTAGACATTACTACTATTTATACTCTTTAACATCTTTTTTTTTTCACTCAGCAGTATGATATAAATTCCTGAAAATATTTTTTTGCTTATTTTTTTCAAACAATTACTGGCAGGCCCTAAAGTATGCATTGCTTCTGGCATGTCTGGGATTATTACTTCCAAAATAGGCTCTGGTTTTTTTTGTGTTTTTTTTTTGAGACAGAGTCTCACTTTGTTGCCCAGACTAGAGTGAGTGCCAGGCGTCAGCCTAGCTCACAGCAACCTCAAACTTCTGGGCTCAAGCAATCCTACTGCCTCAGCCTCCTGAGTAGCTGGGACTACAGGCATGCACCACCATGCCTGGCTAATTTTTTCTATATATATTAGTTGGCCAATTAATTTTCTTTCTATTTATAGTAGAGATGGGGTCTCGCTCTTGCTCATGCTGGTTTCGAACTCCTGACCTCAAGCAATCCTCCCGCCTCGGCCTCCCAGAGTGCTAGGATTACAGGCGTGAGGCACCACAACCAGCCTAGGATCTATTTTTTTAAACAGTTTATGGTGTATCTTTTTTAATTTTTATAGGTTTAGGGGGTGCATGTGCAGATTTGTTACATGGATATATTGCATAATGGTGAAGTTTTGGCTTTTTGTGTAACCCTCACCCAATTCCTGTACATAGTACCCATTAGGTAATTTCTCATCCCGCACTCTTCTTTCACCCTCCCACCCTTTCAAGTCTCCAACATCTATTATTCCACTTTCTATGTCCATGTGTACTCAATATTTAGCTCCCACTTACAAGTGAGAACATGCAGCATGTGACTTTCTGTTGCTGAGTTATTTAACTTAAGATAATGGCCTCCATCCATGTTGCTGCAAAAAACAGGATTTCATTCTCTCTTATGGCTGAATAGTATTACATGGTATTATATATCACCAAAGTAGGCTCCTAAAGTCCATTTAAAACACAATAGCTGTAAAGTCAAAGCTTTTAATTTGTAAGAGGAAAAAAAAAAACCCACAAAAAGTTTTTGAACATATAAAGACAATACATAAAGTTTAATCAATAAACTATATATTGATTAGAGAATTGGTGAAAAACTAGATAGAACACCAAGGGTTCACAGGATTTTGGAGATGGAGGAGGGAAAAGACTCAATAGATGGAGCATGACGGTAATTGAGGCCTTCTAGACCTATAGGTATCACGTGGAAATAAAAAAGTTCACCTCAAAAGACTGCACCACTCCCTGGCACCAGATAAACCCACGGGACCAACCCTAAATCCAACCCTAAGCCTAACTAAAATCTAACTATCCCTATGTCAATTTCTATTCTTATTCCTAAACCAGAACATCCTTCCTTGCTGTGCCAGGGAGTGCTAAGCATTGCCTGTGCTGAAGGGTACATTGATTGTTTTTCTTGGAAGAGGACATCTCAGAAGTAGCTGCCTTCTCTGTATTGCCTATAAGACAATCAATCACCATACCTTAAGTCTTTGCTCAGGCCATGGAGACCACTCTGTTTGGATGAATCCACTCCTATGGTCCCAAACACTTCTAACCTCCGCCCCTACCTCTGGAAAGTGAGGCCCCGGATAAGATAGGTGGCTGGGGAAGGAGAAGGTAAAGAAGAGATAGCTGCACCAGCACCTATGTGAAACCAAAGAAAACCACCCTAAGATTTCCACTCATGGGACTAGGTCAGGAGTGAAACTTCCACAGTCCAATTTATACATATTACATAATCATTTTCCTGCAAATGTCTTCAACAACCTACCCCCATTTCCCCTCTGTCATATACAAGTAATAAACTCACAACCTTGAATAAACCCATATCTCTATCTTCTCCATGCCTACACCCCAGTAGCTGAACATTGCTGGAGAAAAGCCACAAACTAAGTAAAGTGGTTTCTCTCTAAATTCATAAACTCAGACCTCAAATGGGCATTTAGCACTGCCCAACACTCCTGTCATGTTTTTCTTTGGTGGGCTGTTTCTTCTCTAGCATACCTACTTAATAATTTCATAACTTATGTGACTAATTACATGGGGAAAAGCTATGAATATGGTGGGCAAAATATAGGATGCAAAATTCCACATATGTGCCATACTTCCAACTTTGTAAAGAAAAAAAGTAAAATTTTATTTCCTACTCTGGATAGAGGGAAAAACTGGAAAAAAAACTTTTATTGTTTTTTTAATCTTTTTTAAGACAGAGTCTTGCTCTGTCACCTGGGTAGAGTGCAGTGGTGTGATCATAGCAAAAGAATCTTCATTTGCTAACCAATCATTAACCAATTCCTGAAGCATATGCCTCAATTATATTTTCTAGACAAGGATGAATTAAATAATATGGGACTTAGAAAATTCTATTTATATAACAGAAAACAACCCCCAAATGCTAAAAAATAGCAAGTGTCTAAAAATTTAAAATATTGCAAAACAACATCCTCATGCGCCTGAATTATCAATTCTTGAAAAACCAGTGATTAGGTTACATGGTTTTCAGAGCAAACAGATATTTTAACCAACTTGTTGGACTGACCAACCTGCAATCTATATATTTGCTTGTGGTCTCATTATCTTTTACCATATCAGCTAGTATTGTTGATTGACAGAACTGGAACTAGATTAAGGTCTTCTGAATTGTGATTGAAAGCTCTTCCTAAATGCAGGATGGTTTCAGAGAAAAACATCAAAGAAAACAGAGAAAAATGCTCAGGGCATGATTCTCTTTTCCTGCCAGGCAGAACCTTGACTCTTGGACCTGATTGTTCCCATCTCTCCGGAGGCTACCTCAGGCAAGACTCTGACTCTAGTTCCCTTTGCTCCTGGTCCACAACTGTGGACCTGCCCAGCCTTACTCTCATGATGTACCCTAACTCTCTTCCCGTAGGAAAGGAGTGCTTAAACCTGAGATGGTTCTAGGTTTTCTGATGTTTTTGCTGGACCTGTTTGCCTATTCACTGGAACTGTTTGCTCCAGTCACCAAGTCATGCTCACCTCTTCTCCTTTCCTCAGCCAGCAAATAGATTCTCCAGCAGCTAGAAACTCTCCTTGGCGGGGTGGGGGTGGGTTGGGGGGGCAAGTCAGAGGAATTTTAACTCCCTGTTCCTTAACCTTGTACTCCGGTGCACCCGAGCGGCCACCGTTGGGATTGCAGCAGCTGGGATGGGTGAGATGGGGAGTGTTCAAAACTCTGTTTCAACAGCCACCTTCCACAGTATTGTCCCTGGAAATAAAACAAAAAACAAAACAAAGCAAAAAACAACAGCCACCACCCCCCCCACCCCACCCCATGCTATGTCACTTTACTTACAGTGGCAGGAGATAACATCTGAGATCATGTCAACTTCTTGGCTTAATGGGGATATCAGACAGACCCTCAAATAAACACACACACACAACACACATCCCAACACTTCTAATACTTGTTTCATTATCTATAATTGCTCAAATAGTTGTTCATTTTTTTCCAATACCAGGAACAAACCAAACAACTTTATCTTGTCTAATTGCCGCTATGTAGAAGAAACGAAAATGAGCAGCTGTTGGGAAATTACAACACTTTATTCATGCTTGTCATTTGGGAAACTTCATCTAATTAAAACGTTTTTAAATTCTATAATAATACTTTTTATTCAAGCTACTGTCATTTAAAAACCCTATCTAATTTTTAAAAATTTTCTCAGTTCAGACAATGTACAAGATAACGATGGACCATATATCAATAAAAATAATATTTTAGTAAAATAATTTAGAGATTTACATTCTACATGAAACTCAATTTCTTAATT